CCCCCCCCCCCCGCTGCCGTGCCCATCCCCCTCCCCCTCCGCGGCGGCTGCGAGTTCCGGCCGCGTCCCCATGGCAACGAGTGGCGGCGCGAAGGGCGGGCGGCTGGCGGCGGGAGAGAGGCCCTAAAGGCCTCGGCGGCCGCGCGGCTGACAGCCCCGGGCGGCGGGAGCGCGGGAGCGCGGCTGCGGGCGGCGGGACCCCTCGGGGCGGGCCCGGTGGGCGGCGACCCCAGCGTTCCTGCTCCCGGGGCCTCAGACCTCTCGGGAGAGCGCGGCGCAGCGCAGGTAACCCGCCCCGGCCTCCAGGACCCGGTCTCCACCCCGACCCTAGCCCTCGCCGCTCCGCCGGGCCGGTCCCTGGGGGACCCCTGCTGGCCGGCTGGGGGTGCTGGGCGTGAACCCGGCTGGGTCTGGCGGGGGCGCGCGCCGGCGGGGAGGGTCGGGACGGTCTTGCAGAATCCAGAGCTGAGTCTCCCTGAACGCGCAGGTGTAGATTCTAGTTGTGTGGCCTTGGGCAAGTTCACCTAACTTGTCTGTGCCTCAGTTTCCCTGACGCTAAAGTGTGTCATCGGAAGAACCTGCACAGTTTCTCTACCCGCTCTGGTTTAGTTTTCATTCCCCATCTCTGCCGCTGGCCCCTCTGCTCCGCACACAATCCCAGAGCCTCTCTTAAATGTCTTTAATGTGGAAGTGACCTGAGCCCTGCAGTCTTCCTCGTCTACCATCTTGAATACTACTTATTTGACTTTAATTCAGTGATTTAGAGGGGTTGACGTTCTTTTCAATACTTTGGCAAGTTATCCTAATTTTTTAATTACAACTTTGTTGGCTGGGAAAATTTTTTTTTTTTTTTTTTTTTTTTTTTTTTTAGTTTAGGCAGGTACTAACAGGGTAAGCAGGTGTCCACAAAGCCACTGAGGAATTATAAGATTTATATCTTTATATTGATATAATATTTCTGTTATAAGATTTTATATATCTTAGCCTTTTTATCCTAAATCTCGTGGTATATGCATTCTAACAAACCCCAGAAAGGGCCAAAGAAAGAATTGACTCGAATAAAGGCAAACTTTTAGGGGACAAGGAAGGAAAATTTGAGAACATTTAGCTTTAACTCCTCCACAATGGGTATTCTGTGTGACTCATCTCATGTGATAAGCACTTTGCAAAGTACCTGGCAGCCAAGCTGTTGCTCAGTAAATAGTGAATGAATGCTCCTTTCAGTCAGTGCTACATCTTTCAACTCATCACTAAGGCAATGTCATAAATGCTTGGGGGGGGGGAGTTATAAAAAAAAAAAGGGCCCACATTTCCACATTTTGTAGAACCAAGAGCACTGAATGATTTGCCAATAGCAGAGTTTTTAAGCATTTTAGAAATCTAGATCATTTTTACCCTTAACAGATTAAAATCAAGAAACATAAACCAGAAGCTGCAGTTTCTTGACATGGAGAACCAAGCCAGTAATACAATGGGGTAAGTGTTGAAATTTTTCTGTTCATTAAGTTGGTACTTAACTATGCCAGAAACTTCCTGATGATACATGAATTTTGAAATTTGGTATTAATAGGAGGATGTACCAGTTACTTTTGGTGGGGAGGGAAATTCAAGTGATTCTAATTAAAGACCTATGGTATGAATCTTTTCAATTTTGACTATGGATCTGGACTCAAAAATCACCATTTTCCCATGTTTAGTGAGTTTTTACAGGGTTTTGGGATGACGGGTGTCCATGCAGGCCTCATACTCTTGGGTTTCCATAGGGCAGCGGCTCCTACCCAGACCACCCCTATCTTGCTGCACAGAGTGTCCCGGGCTTCCGTCTACACTTGCCCTTAAGGCCAAACTCAACACTTAAACATAGCCTCAAAACAGATCTCTTAAGCATAGAGAACAAACTGGTGGTTACCAGAGGGCTGGGGGCAGGGGGAAGGGATGGCGAAATAGGTGAAGAGGATTAAGAGCGCACTTCTCATAGCGAACACTGAGTAATGAATAGGATTGTTGAATCACCACATTGTACACCGGAAACTCTTATAACACTGTAAAGTATACTGGAATTAAAATAAAAAATTACTAAAACAAAACAAAAAAAAAACAGATTTGTCTTCTAAAACAACAAGAAGAATGGGATATTTTACCAAAGTCTCATGAGGAGATAAGGAATAGAATCTGTACAGCATGCACCATTGTAAAAAAATAAATTCCCTTTCACAAATATCTGTCCCTGACCCTTCCCTGCCACCGTCAGCTCAAAGGTATCTCTTCCTATTGTTTCATTAGTCAACTGGCCACTGGCCGACTCCAGAGCTGCGGGACCGGTGAGGGGCGAACTGGGGAGGGACGGTGGAGGAGTGATACTGGAGTGCCTAATCTGGACTGACTGACTTGCACTAGTTAGACCACACCAGGTGGTTATTCTGCTCTGACCATGACCTTGATGTCAGGCTAAAGGAAGGCTGCCCAAGTCCACGTAAAAACAGCCATCAGTTTTGTAAATCCTACTGTATACTTCTTCTTACAACAGCCTTGCTGGGTACTGTTCTCATTTTACATCTAAGAAAATTTAGTGCGTTTGAGTATAGGCTGCGGTCTTGCCGTGAAGAGGCCACAACATTCAGTGGTTTAAATAAGGCTAAAGTCTATTTCTGTTTCATGAACAAGTTTAGGGATAAGCAGACCAGGGCTGGTTAGGCAGCCCCGCCACCCTCACTACCTGATTTTTCATCTCTGGACCCAAAGTGATAGCTTCAGCAATGACCACTGTGCTCCTGCCAGAGGGAAGGGGTAAGGGCAAGGGGAGAATTTGGTTCCTTTTTGGAATGTGCCCCTGAAGGAGCAGGCCTCACGTCTAGTCGTTTGCCCTTGGCCAGAGCTACAGCTAGCTCTCAGGAAGGTTGGGAAGTACAATCTCTAACTGAGCAGTTCTATGGCCAGCTAAAGTTTAGGTGAGAAAAGGAAGAAGAATGGATATTGGTGGACAGTTAGCAGCCTCTGCCACATTTCTGAGCTCAGACAGGTAGAAAGAAAGAGAAATAAAGCAGCAGCTTTCCCCAGAACATACAACTGGTTAGTGGAGAAGGGAGGATTTGAAATCAGATAGGTCTGGCTCTAATCCCGGCATCCTTTGCTATGTTGGAAATGGGTGGCAGTGAGATGTGGAGGCGGCCTGTTCAGTATCTGTGGCAGAGTCAGGTTAGGTTTCTGGATTGAGCAGGTGTTAGGTCCCGGATGTGATGATGGCACTGGGAGCTTAGATTCAGACTGAAGGTCTCAGACCTAAGGTTGGGTACCAGATCTGAGGCTGTGGAGACTGCTGTTTCTCTTCATTCATTCTTTCGGGGGGAAAGTGTAGAAAATTGAATGTGTGGCAAGCACAACACTGAGTCTTCTGGTTCATACAAAGATCATTAAGAAACAGACCTTAAACAACTTAGAATTTAGTAGGGAACCATAGAGCTTGTATAGTGTAATTGCAAACCAGAAATGAATGAGAATTGCTAAATGTTTCCATGAGCAGGAACCCTACTTATCCCCACAGACACGGGACCAGACATTGTCTACCATGGCCTACGAAGCATGGAGGGTCAGGTTGACGTTGCTTCTGTCCCTCATGGTGTTGAGAAATATGTAAAAATCTAGATAGTAAAGACAGTAAAACTTCACTGGGGCATGTTACAGAGCTAATCAAACCATGTCGCCTACATATGGTAATATTTTGTGGTACAACCTTCATTTAACAAATATTTATCTAGAGTCTACTGGGAGCCATTGATTGGTGTAAGCACTAGGAAAAGGGCAGTGAACAAAACAGAGCCCGCTCCTCCAAGGGTCAGAGGGAGTCATTAACATGTTCCCTACGGCGACATGAAGAGAACTAAAGCAGGCTAAAGATGAGAAGATGAATGAAATGGTCAAACCAGCCTTCCCTGCCAAGGTGACATTTGAACAAAGATGATATTGGGCAAAGAGCGTCCCAGACAGCAGGAACAGAATGTGTGAAGGCGTAAGGTGGGCGTTTTTGCACAGAATATTTGTTGGGTGAATTTTCCTCCGACAGCTGGCTTACAACAGGGTTTGGTTTTCATTTTAAATCTATGATTTCCCCTAATTATAGGTGTTTGTATTTGTGCTATCATAATCAACCTAAACTCCTTCTAATCAAAACAGCCATGTTTGAGTTTGTCCTTTTTATTTTTTTTCAGAGTGTGTGCCCAGAACATAAACAATTATAAATGAACAAATGATCTATTTCTATTTGAGCAAGAGAATCGTGTCAACATTTTGCTTGGTTTCTGCTTCCTTATTAATTTCTACTCTTATTAACTTGTCCTTCTTGGATTTATTTTACTTCTTTTGTTCTCCGGATTTTTGAGTTGAAAAATATGGTTCGGTTATTTTTATGATTTCTGAATTTAATGACTTCCTTAAGTAATAAAAGCCTTTAGAGCTCAAGTTTCTCCTGAACACAGCTCTGCTGTGAGGCCATTGTATTGGTGTTTCCACTCTCATTTTCCAAATAAATTGCCTGTTATTTCAACTTTGATTTCAGTTTGACTAATTTGAGATACTTAAGACATGAAAGTTGTGAGGGAGGGATTAATTATATTTTTATAACTATTCCTTTCTAATCTCCCTACCACCATGGTCACAGTCTATGGCCTGTGTGATATTTCACTTTCATTAGAGTGTTCTGATAGTCCCTTTCATGATCAGTTACTATAAATGTCCTTTGGTCATTTGAAAGCAAATGTATATCCTGTATTGGTTAAGAAAAAAGGTTAAAAAAGTTATACATAGGTCATCAAACCTTTTTGTTATTTAAATTATGTTTTTCAAATCCATTATTACCTTGCTTTTTGTTTATTTGATCTATCATATTTTACGAAAAATCTTCACCATAATCATGGTTTTGTCCAATTCTTATAGTTCAAATAGTTTTTGTTCTACATATTTCAGTGTTCTGTTTATTGAGGTTCATGGATATTATATCTTCTTGATATATTATGTGATTTAGCTTTATAAAATAACTCACAAATATAAGTTAATGTATTTTGTTGTTGTTGTTTAAATTCTACTTTGCCTGATATTGATATTGTCATCTCTGTTCTGTTCTTAATTTATTTTAGTCTGTAATATCCTTGTTCATCCCCTTTGTAATAGAAGAAACTCCGTCGTTTCCTTTCTGTGTGGGGAGAAACTCAGCTCTTCCCTACTAAGTCTTCCCTGTGTGCCTCCTTTACCTTCACAGAGAACCCTTCACTTCTGACGCCCTGGTCACCAAATGCATGGAGGTTTTCCCTGCACCAAGCCATTGTCTGTGACTCCAGCTGGGTGTCTATTATTTAACTCATTTCTGACACTGTCTACCTGGAGATAGCATGTGATCACACAGGTTAGAGGCTCAGTCCCACGTGACTGCTCCTCCTGCTACATCAGATGCCAGTAACAAGCCCAGGTTGTCACCTGTGCTCTGACCAAACTGGCAATAGGTTCCAATGACCCCCACCTTGGGCTCATGCCTTTGCTAGAATGACTCAGAGAACTCAGGGAAACACGTTAACCAGGATAAAAGGTACAGACGAACAGCCAGATGGAAGAGAGGCGTAAGGCAAGGTACGTGGTGTCCCAGGTGTGCCACCCTCCCAGCGCTTCCTGTGTTACCAACCCAGAAGCTCTCTGGACCCCGTACTTTTGGGATTTTTATGGCGGCTTCATCATGTAAGCATAATCGGTCATTAACTTCATTTACAGCCCTTCTTCCTTCTCAAGAGAATGGAAGGTGGGATGAAAATTCCAAGCTTCCAACCATGGCTTAGTCTTTCCAGTGACCAGCTCTCATCTCATCAGCTTTCCAGTGACCAGCCCAAATCTCCTCATTAGAATAAAAGGTACTCCTATCACGCAGGAAATCACAAAGGTTTCAGGATCCTTGTGTCAGGAACCAGGGTCAAAGAGCAAATATCAGAACAAAACACACTCCTAGTGCTCTTATCACTTAGGAAATGACAAGGGTTTTAGGAGTTCAGTGCCAGGAATCCGGAATAGACACCAATATATAGTTTCTATTATCTCATTGCCTTGTTTTCAATCTTATTTATATCATATTGTGTCTCTTGTAAATTAGCATATGGTTAGATTTTAAAAATACCTCATTGGAGGGTCTTTGACATGAAAAAGAGGATTTTATGATCATTAATATGCTAACATTTGACCACCGTTTTGATTTCCCAAAATCTGCTATTCTGAGCTACTTTTCTTTTTCTTCATTTTCTGTTAGAAGTTTTACATCCTATTTTATAAGTTGTCAATGAACACTTTGGAAAAACTTTCTAAATCTGGGTTTCTCTTTTGGCATCCTGAATTTTAATTGTATCTTTGACTTCCCTCATCCTTTTCTCTCTTTTAAGACTAAACTTTAGTAGTGCCTGTGCTTCCCCTTTCCTTTATCTCACCTCCAAAAAGTAATCTGGATT